TTAGGTAGGTCAATCTCTGAGAAAGTTTTATCATTTGTGAAAAAAAGCTGTCATACTTCCTATTTTGTATAATCATTGTGATGATTAATTGAGCAAATGTTTGGGTTTAGTTTAGTTGTGTTTTATGTCGTAGTCTCACTCTGTCACCCAGGCTGGAGTGGCACAATCAGGGCATACCACAGCCTCAACCTCCTAGGCTCAGGTGAACCTTCTGCCTCATCTTCCAACCGGGGACTCCAGGTGTGTGCCACTATGCCTAATTTTTTAAAAAAAAATTTTCGGTAGAGATAGGTCTTGCTATGATGGCTACGCTGATCTCAAATTCATGGGCTCAAGTAGTCCTTCTGCCTTGCCCTCCTAAAGTGATGTAATTACAGGTATGAGCCATGGCACCTGGCTCAAATCTTTAACTTTTTCCAAAAGATATAGGGATTTGTGTGTGTGTATGTGTATGTGTGTTTAATAAGTTTAAGGAAATAGCCATCTTATTTTTAGGCTATTCATAATGAGCAGTACTGCATTGTAATAAATTTTTTTTAGTATCTGTTTATTAATAGATGACCTTGTAGTTTTTCTCCTCTGACCTGTTAATTTTTTTACTGGATACTGTTGCCTGCCAACTTGATATCCATGCTCCTCTTGTTGGTTGGGAAAATTCCTATTTTATGTAGTTAGCTGTTCATCTGTGATTTGACCTTAACCTCACTTCAGTAGGAAATTCAGATTAGTCTTACCAGTCAGGGTAGTTTCACTGTCACTCTTACGTTTCTTGCCATTTTCCTTCCAGTCACGAGCATCTGGCAGAACTCAGATCTATTAGGTATGAGAGAAAGTCTTTTATAAGTTTCTGGGAAATGTTTGGGTCCTGGGTTTTTTATTTTGTTTTTTTGAGTAGAAATCTCAGTCTGTCACATAGGAGTGAGTACAGTGGCATGCTCATGACCACTGCAGCCTCTACCTGCAGGGCTCAGGCAATCCTTTCGGTTCAGTCTTTCAAGTAGCTGAAACCACAGGTGCGCACCACC